AATACCTGCCCCTCCCCCCCCCCCCAACACCACCACCTGTAGAATTAAGTGGTGGCCTCCACTCCAGTCCGTGTTTGTTCCCTTCAGAAAGTAGTCAAGACATCTCCCGGCGCCCTTCCCTTAGAAATCAGGCGGCGGCCACATTTCTGGGAAAGAGAGTGTGGTGTTCTTATGAGTGTTCCTCAGCAAAAATCAGATAACTTGATTCTTAGATAATGACTATGATCTGGCTCTAGAAAAGTGGTAGTTGATCGTTACTTTCTTTTATAGTCAACACAAATTCTCAGCCCTAGCGGAAATTGAAGGGCATTAAGACCTCAGGCCACGGAGAGGGTCACGTTGAACATACTTAGGGTTCAGAAGGAAGCGGGCACTTTCTCTGGGCAAGTGATCCCAGGACGTGTAGTTCCTAGTTGTAGCTTCCTAACTCCAGGCCCCAGAAGTTGGAAAATGCTGTGCAGGCAGTTCAAGTGTCCTGAACTGACTTGTTCAAATTGCAAAGTCACGACTTTGAAGTTAGCACTTGTGGCTGAAATCTCCTCCAAGAGCTAGGATTGAAACTTCCCTTATTCCTGGCTAGCTGGAAATAAACTTGAGCTAAAAATGCGCCTGTAAAAAGGAAAGATGACTGAATGACAAGTCTTAAACTAAGGACCTTTTAAAAGATTGGTATACTATTTATCAATATTAGGAAATGCTGGTGCAAATTTAAGACCACCAAAAGAACATTAAGCTAGGAAAATTAACTTTGTATTTCTATGGATATTAAGAGATTTTTTTTTTTCCCCTTATATTTTGGGCCTTGGTCATTTATTACGGTTTTAGTTGTCTGTTGTGCACACTTTCTTCATCCTTTTTTTTAATTTGGAGAAAATATCTCATAAATTATACAGAAGAATTTCACCCAATGTTCATTGTCAGTTTCATTTTTTTTTAATTCCATTTATTTACTGAATGTAAAGTCCCCTACAAAATATGAGAGACTATTTCATAAAGTAGTCCTTAGTACGTTTTAGAATCAATTCAATTACTTGGAATAGTGACATGTTTTTTGTTTGTTTTTGCATTTTTCTAAAATGTCAAACTTATAAAAAATATGTGATTGTCTGGGCTACAAAAATGTGATACTAGATTGATGATATCTACATAAAGAATAACGAGAGTTTTCTTACAGAAAACGGAGCTCTTTCTGCCCTCAACACACATTTTTGCTGAATTTCTCATTTTCTTTAATAACCACAGAGTTTATTTTCTTTAGTGTTTCCTCTGTTTCTTCTGAAATGCATGTCATAGCTATACATTTTGAAAATCTTACTTTTTTTTTAATTGAGAAAAAAATTTCAAATTTAACTGTTGAATGTATTCACTTAAGTGCACTGCAAAGTAGTTAAGGGTATAATACTAGTGTTGGGTGTTTTAATATGTTTATATCTAGTAGCAAAAGATCTACCACTTGAACTCAGTCCTCCAAATTGTTGTTTGAGATTTTAGATTCTCCTGATAACTCTATATAGACTTACAAAGTTTCTTGAATGAATCAATAATTTCCTGTGTTATTACAGTCAATGTGATTCTGTTTGCTCCTTTTAGAATATAAACAGTTTTGTTTGAAAAGTATGCTAACCTGACTCTGGTATAGGCTTCAGGGCAGAATTCTGAGCATTGTTACATAGTAGCCTAATCATTTCACTGAAGAGTAGAGGTTGCTACTCTTAAGTAACATTTAAGAAGTGAGTATTATGTATTTCCTGCCTCATCTATATAATCAAATGTAATTTATCAAACAAAAGAAATCAAATTTTTAAGTCATTGAAGAGAAAATAAAATTATAATAATTATAATATTGTCTTTGTTATGCACTGCATCGTGTTAATAACTACTCACATTGCATTCAATTAATCTAATGCTGATTGCTTCTAACCTTCACTAAACAGTTTTGAAAATTGCTGTAGTTTAGCCTGGGATGCTTATGATTAGAGTCAACAATTTGAAATGGCCAGCTCATCTGATGCGGTTGTCTCCTCACCGCCTGCTTTCTTAAGGTCTGGTAAGTGTGTAGACCCCAAAAGGGTCACTTGGTATTTTAAAACAACCTTTTCTTCTCAAAGTTTATGTCATCTTATGATATGATTTTAGATTTACTTCTTCATTGGTGGGTCCAATCCTGAGCACCATTTCTGCTATTGTTAGGCTTAGGTTTGCACTGTATTTCAAGTGTGGCCTATCATGTTATTGTGGTGCAAAGCCTGAGAAGGGGTCAAGAGTGGAGTCCTTGCCATGACACACTGTTTGACCAGAGGCAGCTCAGTTCTGTTTCTGGGAACTTTATTTGTCAAATGAGTATCATAAGGTCTAGCTCCTTAAACCATTTTTGTTCTCTGGCAAAATGGAAATGAAACTGAGTAATGTGTTCCCCAAGATTGTGGAACAGTATCTGTTCTAAGGGGAAATTGAAACCGAGTAAAGTCAAAACTATTTCCCCCACCCTGGTTAAAACAGATAATTGGAACAGATAGGACCCCGGATGGGAATAGATAAGTGAACTTAATTGCCCTCAACTATTTTCCCACTCCAGTTAAGACTAATAGGACCCCAGCTGGAGACATATGAGTAAATATAATAAGTTCAGTTCCTTAAGAACTGAATAGAACAGAAAACATTCTTTCCTGCTATTTCCTTAGGCACAGGTGATAAACGTTAATGCATCTTAGAAAAAAACTTGAAAATTAACTCTGGCTCACGAACATGCCAAAGACAAAGAGGAACAAAGTTACTGGGAACTAACACTCTCCCTTCTGCCTAAGCCCCAATCAGCTGATAACAGGAAGTCGGTGTGACTCATCCAGTATCCACCACTGGATCAAAACACTATTGTCCCTTTAAACTGAGGTGAAGGAAATAGCAGCCAATTCTCAACCATCTCATACCCAAATTCCTCAAATTTTTATGAATATGCATCACCCTCTCTTCTGAAACTTACAAAACTGTGATTTGATGGAGTTTCAGGGAGTCAGATCTGGGTACGGGTACCCCTGGCTCCGTGCATTGCTGCTTTGCAATAAATAATTTTGTCTCCTCTTAATCACCTGGTGTGTAAACTGTTTTGACCTGACTGCACACCAGGCAGGGACCCGCATTTGGTCCTATATCAGAAACAACTTTTATAAATTAGTAATTTTTGGTCAATGCCTCATAGCCCTAACTTTTCATCAACTTCCAAGGAAGTGGATATTATCATAAACATTTTCATGGACAGGAAACAGAAGGTCACAGAGGTAGAGCCACTTGCACCAGGTTGTGAGACTTTACTGTTTCAAGGCCAAATGCTGTGGTGGTTGATGAGCCCTTTGGATTACTGCATGAAAACTGTGTAATTGCTTCCCAAATGAGTACATACTGTCTTGAAAAAAATTTCTAGGAGGTTCATGAACCCAGAAAAATCCACATACGAATTTCCATTAGAAACACATGCCTTTAAATGTATCCATCTCTACAGAAGAAGAAAGAGTCTTTGTTAAATGGCCACAGTGATAAAAATTAAGACAGAAGCTCTAGGGCACTTTCCTGTAGGTCATGGCCTAACTTGGGCCATTTCACAAACTGTTATGTGTCAGAACACTCTGGAAGAAACCTGTTGGCAAGATATTACATTGTTTCTAATTGTGCCTAAAGCAAATTATTTAATTCTCAAGACCCATTAACAGGTAAATGTGAGATGAACCAACCCTAACAGTGACTGAGGAACTCTTTCTTTTGGACACTCCATTCAGGAGTGAGCCCCTCCCTTATTTCCATCTTTACTTCAGTTCCTTTGTTGTCAAAATGGAGGAAGAAAATTGCAAAGGAACAAAATAGGAAATAGCTAAGGGAAGAATCATAATCAAACCGGAGAAAACAAAGCTTGTATTTTAAGGAATAAGAAAATGATCCTTGTCTTCAGTTGTCATCTGCTAAATTAAAGTAATAACATATTATATATAACAGTATTCAATTTATTTCTGATTTAATATTTGAACTAAAAGATTGGGAGAATATATATCCCTTTAGACACCTAGATATATTCTTTCTTTTTAAGCATCAGATTCAGTTTTCTGTCTTGGCTTTCCTAATAAGGGCTTGGTGGGTTTGCAGCACTAGCAAAGTCATTTGGTAGTAATGGGGAAGTACAATATGAAAGATAATGCTTTTATGCATCAGTAGTCCCCAGAATTTCAAAACCCAGGAACTGTGCTTAACATTAAATAGAGTGTACGAAAGCATATACAACTAAATTTTCCAGTATCAAAATACTTCAAAGTAAAATACAACAAGAAACAAAACAAAATACCAAGCTTCAGTGTTATAAACCATTTTAAGGATAGATTATTTATAATTTACTTTAACTGTTTATACTTCTTTTTGATTCCTCTAACCAAAATTTAGTAAGGTTATAAAGAAATATCAAAAAATTTAATCTGTTAAAATGAGAAATACTCAGTTTGCATTTATAGTTTATTTACTAATTGAAATACTCCATTTATGTTGGAAATAATTTGTTTTCCCCTGTTATAGTTCCTTGAATGTTATTACTGTGGAAGAATGTTTCATTGCATGATTTAATTAACAGTCAGTTTATAGCATGCCCTGGGTTCACAGCTGTGCCTTTCAGTGGCACTTCTGACCAGAAACTAGCCAGTGGTACAAAAAATGAAAGGTAACATCTTGATTTTGGAAAACGAATTTCCTATATACCTGGATTGTTGTGTACATTTTAGCCCTCCTTAATCCTC